AATGCAGCAATACTATTCTGAGAGGGAGGAGAACATAGGGAGACATGAGAAGCCTTAGAGCTAACAGTGAGAAATAATGTGGCACAGTGGTGAGAATGTACACGCAAACATAGTCTCTCTAAATAGAGGGATATAAAACTGCATTTTTTTAAACTGCCATTTACACATCACGTCGCATTCTAATTGCTTCATAGGTAAAAATACTTAAATGTTTTTTCTAATATCCCAAACTGGATAGTGATGAACACATTTAACTCTCTCTTTTCATTTTACTTGATTTCTTAGACAATTCAGATACTGTGGGGGAACTTAGGGGAACACGCTTGAAAACCAAAGTACTTAAGTAAAATTTATTTAGTGCTCACTATGTACTAACTACTAGTATGGCAGATTCTGGGGATAAAACAGTGAGCAAACACCAGCAGTGATCTTGCACTGGTGGAGTTTACAGTGCGATGGAACGAACCGGTAATAATCAGACCAGTCAATGATGAATTATCACAGGAATAAGTGCTGCACAGAAGAGCCAGGGTGCTGAGTTCATAGCACAGAGGTCACAACGTGGACCTGGACGTGAGCAGGGAATGGACTGGGCATCCAGGAGGGCTTCCATGATCAAGGACACACAGCTAGAGGAAAAACCTGAGGAGCACAGAGAGTACGCCAGGCAGAGAGAGGTGGGGGCAAATTCCTTGCGACTAGAGGGTGCAGGACAGTTCCAAGGAACTGAGAGGAAGTGGGAACCAAAGGGTAAGGGACAGCTTGATGGGAAATTAGGCAAAAGAAGTAGGGAGGGACCAGACCTTGCAGGACCTTGTGGGTTGTGTTAGATCTTGTGTTTGAGGGTGATAGATCTTCACCCTCAAGACAATAAGCAGCCACAAAGGAGTTCTGCCTCTGTTGCTAATTACATCCTAAGACCACTTATGCAGAGCATCTGGCGGAGTCCCAGATCCATAGCAGTAGGCAGCGAATGTCGATTCCCTCCCAAAGGCATCCTACAACATTTACTGCTTTATCCAAATAGTCAACCAATTAACAATCAAAATGAGTATCTCTTGTATTTTCACATCAGTATCGTTGCGAAATGAATTAGTATGTTTGAGTCTTAATGGAATGTCCATTATCTCTCAATATACAAAAAATTCAGCCTTTGATATCCAAAGGCTCTACCTCTGAAACCAAATGCAGATCAAAATGCAAAATTCAACGAATGTGAAACCTATGGATGGAGGGCTGATGTTTTGTATATATGGGTTCCAAAGAGCCAACTGCAGGACTTGAGTCTGTGCAACTTTTGATATCTGTGGGGGTCTGAAAACCAATTCCTCATAGATGCCAATGCACAACTAGATATACAAAAAGCAATTGTAGTTTTATTCCCTAGAAATAAACATTCTGGAAATGAGATTAGGAAAACAATTTCATTTATAACAGCATCAAAAAAATAAAATAATGGTATTAACTCCAAGAAATGAAGCACAAGATATATTAGGAAAACAATAAGAGTATTGGAAGAAATTTAAGAGAACCTAAACAAATGGAAGTACACCACATTGTCTTTAAAATGGGAAGATCATAATGCTATCAAGATGGCAATACTTAAAATTCATTGAAAACCTTAATATGATCAAGATGGCAGTATTCCTGAAGTTGATCTACAGATTCAATTCAATTTCTATCACAATTCAAGTTGCTTTTGTTTCCAGAAAACCAACAAGCTGACTCTAAAATTCATATGGAAATAGAAAGGATTCAGAATGACCAAAGCCATTTTGTAAAAAGAAGAGCAAAGTAGAGTACTCCCACTTCTAGATTTCAAATTTTACTACAAATCAACAGTAATGAAGACTCTATGTACTGGCATGGAATAGACATATAGGTCAATGGACCAGAACTGAGAATCCAGATGTCAATTGATTTTTGACAAGGGTGCCAAGATAATTTAATGGGAGAAAGAATCTCTTTTATTTTTTTAACCAACAGAATTTTATTTCATTAAGCATGAAGTTACATTCACATTTGTCTACAAACACAGTCAGTAAGGAAACAAAAACTATCAGCTTTCTTGCTGTAGTATGAAATGTTCAGTGGCCGGCTCACTTAAAGGCAGAGTCAACCCTGACGGGGACTCGAGATCAGTCACAACTACTTGGGAGAAGAACACAAAGACCACCAGCTTTCTTGCTGTGGTGCCGAATGTTCAGTGGCAGGGTCACTTAAAGGCAGAGTCAACCCTGATGGGGACTAGACATCAGTCACAACTACTTGGGAGGAGAACACAAAGACCACCAGTTTCCTTCTGGTGCCAGATGTTCAGTGGCAGGCTCACTGGAGGTGGAATCAACCCTGACGGGGAGTCCAGATCAGTCACAACTACTTGGGAGGAGAACACCAAGACCACCAGCTTTCTTGCTGTGATGCTGGATGTTCAGTGGCAGGCTCACTTGAAGGTGGAATCAACCCTGATGGGGACTCCAGATCAGTCACAACTACTTGGAGGAGAATGTGAAGACCACCAGCTTTCCTGCTGTGGTGCCAGATGTTCAGCGGCAGGCTCACTTGAAGGCAGAGTCATCTCTAACGGGGACTTGAGATCAGTCTCAAATACTTGGGAGGAGAATATAAAGACTACCAGCCTTCTTGCTGTGGAGTTGGACGTTCATTGAGTGGGAGGCTCACTTGAAGGCATAGTGAACCATGACACATACTCAAGATCTGTGCAAAGTACTTGGGATGAGAACACAAAGACCACAGCTTTCTTGCTGTGATGCCAGATGTTCAGTGGCAGGCTCACTTGTAGGCAGAGTCAACCATGATGGGGGCTCGAGATCAGTCAAAAGTACGTGGGAGGAGAATACAAAGACCACCAGCTATATTGCTGTGGTGTCAGATGTTCAGTGGCAGGCTTACGTGAAGGCGGAATTGACCATAATAAGAACTCGAGATCAGTCACAACTACTTGGGAGGAGAACACAAAGACCACCAGTTTCTTGTTGTGGTGCTGGATGTTCAGTGGCAGGCTCACATGAAGGCAGAATAAACCCTGATGGGGACTCAAGATTAGTCACAACTACTTGGCAGGAGAACACAAAGACCGCCAGCTTTCTTGCTGTGGTGCCGGGTGTTCAGTGGCAGACTCACTTGAAGGTGGAATCAACCATGATGGGGAATCCAAATCAGTCACAACTACTTGGAGGGGAATGCAAAGACGCCAGTTTTCTTCCTGTGGTGCCAGATGTTCAGTAGCAGGCTCATTTGAAGGTGGAGTCAACCCTGACGGGGACTCAAGATCAGTCACAACTACTTGGGAGGAGAACACAAAGACCACCAGCTTTCTTGTTGTGTTTCCGGGTGTTCAGTGGCAGGCTCACTTGAAGGCGGAGTCAACCCTGACGGGGACTCAAGATCAGTAACAAGTACTTGGGAGGAGAACACAAAGTCCACCAGCATTCTTGTGATGGTGCCGGATGTTCAGTGGCAGGCTCACTTGAAGGTGGAATCAACTCTGACAGGGACTCGAATTCAGTCACAAATAGTTATGGGGAGAACGAAAAGACCACCAGCTTTCTTGCTGTGGTGCTGAATGTTCAGTGGCAGGGTCACTTAAAGGCAGAGTCAACCCTGACGGGGACTAGACATCAGTCACAACTACTTGGGAGGAGAACACAAAGACCACCAGTTTCCTTCTGGTGCCAGATGTTCAGTGGCAGGCTCACTGGAGGTAGAATCAACCCTGACGGGGAGTCTAGATCAGTCACAACTACTTGGGAGGAGAACACCAAGACCGCCAGCTTTCTTGCTGTGATGCCAGGTGTTCAGTGGCAGGGTCACGTGAAGGTGGAGTCAACCCTTATGTGGACTCAAGATCAGTCACAACTACTTGGGAAGAGAACACAAAGACCACCAGCTTTCTTGCTGTGATGCTGGATGTTCAGTGGCAGGCTCACTTGAAGATGGAATCAACCCTGATGGGGACTCCAGATCAGTCACAACTACTTTGAGGGGAATGCAAAGACCACCAGCTTTCTTGCTGTGGTGCCAGATGTTTAGCGGCAGGCTCACTTGAAGGCAGAGTCAACCCTGATGGGGACTCGAGATCAGTCAAAACTACGTGGGAGGAGAATACAAAGTCCACCAGCATTCTTGTGGTGGTGCCAGATATTTAGTGGCAGGCTCACGTGAAGGCGGAATCAACCATAACAGGGACTCAAGATCAGTCACAACTACTTCAGAGGAGAACACAAAGACCACAAGCTTTCTTGCTGTGGTGCCAGGTGTTTAGTGGCCGGATCACTTGAAGGTGGAGTCAACCCTGACAGGGACTCGAGACCAGTCACAACTGCTTCAGAGGAGAACACAAAAGACCGCCAGCTTTCTTGCTGTGGTGCCAGATGTTCGGTGGCAGGCTCACTTGAAGGTGAAGTTAACCCTGATGGGGATTCAACATCAGGCACAACTACTTGGAAGAACACAGAGGCTGCCAGCTTTCTTGCTGGGGTGTAGGATGTTAAGTGGCAGGATCACTTGAAGGCGGAGTCATCCCTGACGGGGACTTGAGATTTGTCACAAATATTTGGGAGGAGAATATACAGACTGCCAGCTTTCCTTTTGTGGTGTCGGACATTAATTCAATGGCATGCACACTTGAAGGCAAAGTGAACCATGGCAGTGACTTGAGATCTGTGCAAAGTACTTGGAAGGAGAACACAAAGACCACGAGCTTTCTTCCTGTGGTGCCAGATGTTCAGGAGCAGGCTCACTTGAAGGTGAAATCAACCCTGACATGCACTTGAAATCAGTCACAACTGCTTGGGAGAGTAAAACAAAGACCGCAAGCTTTCCTACTGTGGTGCCGGATGTTCAGTGGCAGGCTCACTTGAAGGTAGAGTCAACCCGGACAGGGACTCAAAATCAGCCACAACTACTTGGGTGGAGAACACAAAGAACACCACCTTTATTGCTGTGGTGCCGGATGTTCAGTGGCAGATTCACTTGCCGGCAGAGTCAACCCTGACGGGGACTTGAGATCAGTCACAAATAGCTGGGAGGAAAATAACAAGATTGCCAGGTTTCCTGTTGTGCTGTTAAATGTTCATTCAGTAGCAGACTCACTTGAAGGCAAAGGTTAATCGTGATGGGGACTCAACATTCTTCCAAAGTACTTGGGAGGAGAATATAAGGATTGCCAACTTTCCTGCTGTGGTGCCAGATGTTCACTAGCAGGCTCACTTGAAGGTGATATCAACCCTGACAGGGACTCGTGATCAGTCACAACTACTTGGGAGAGAACACAAAGACCACAAGCTTTCTTGTTCTGGTGCTGGATGATCAGTGGCAGGCTCACTTGAAGGCAGAGTCAACCCTGATGGGGACTCAAGAGCAGTCACAACTACTTGGGAGGAGAACACAAAGACCGCCAGCTTTGTTGTTGTGATGTCAGATGTTCAGTGGCAGGCTCACTCTAAGTTGGAATCAATCTTGATGGAGACTCAAGGTCAGTAACAACTACTTTGGAGGAGAACACAGGGACTGCCAGCTGTCTTGCTGTTGTTTTGGATGTTCAATAGCAGGCTTATTGGAAGGCAGAAGTGTCTTGAAGGGAACTCGAGGTCAATCAGAATTATTTTTGTTCAGTAGCAGAGTCATTAGGAGATGGAATCAACCCTGCAAGGAACTCGCTTTTACCTTCAATATTTGGGGGTTGGGGGAACAAATCCAGGTCTTGGTGGAAGATTCGGAGGAAAACCCCTGGGTGGATAGGCACTCCTCACTGCGAATGGAGCATATGGTGGATCTGGGAAATCGCTTGGTGGAAAATCATGTGGAGAAACTCCAAACAGGGTTCCTGGAGGAGGTGGGGGGAAAGGAGTTCCTCTTCTCATATCGGTAACATAGGTGTAATGCTCTCTGCCAAATCCTGTGTTTGGAACATCAACTGTAGAAGGATCTTTGTGTAAAAATTTGAATTTCATCTCTGTGTCAGCTAATTTTTGTCTGTACTTAGCATTTTCCTTCCTTAATCCTTTGAGGTTTATTTCAGCAGTCCGAGCTGCCAACCAATTGTCATGTGCTTTTTTCTTAAGGAGTAAAATCTGCTCTTGATAAGAAAGGATCATTCTTTCCAACTCTTCTTCAAGATGTTCAGCTTGCTTTCTATACTTCTCCAGCTGGTCAGTGGTACAGTTGATCTTTTCCTCTTGTTTAGAAAGTTTCCCTTGTCTCTCTAACTGGTCATTTTCTTCTACAGTGAATGTTTTGTAAAGTCTCATTGTCGTTTCTTCATGTAATTCAGTCATTACTTCAAGTTTCTGTTGAAGCTTCTGATTCTCACTTTCAAAATCTGTGTTTTCTGACTGTAAAGATGCTTGTTCAGACTGAAGCTGTTTAATATGCCCCATAAGCTGCTTCTCTGTTTTATCAGTTTCGGACAACTGAATATAAATTTGGTTTCTTTCTCCTTCTAAACATTTTAAAGATGCATTTAACTTAGCAGCATCAATCAGTTTCTTCAAAGCTCCTTTTGGAGAATCAGCTAAGGAAGCGCCACGTTCTGATTCACTCTTCATTTCTACTTTTGAGTTATGATCGTCCATCATGTCTTCTCCAAGCACAGCAGCCCAATCTTTCATCTTCAGGAAGTGTTTAGTCAGCGTCTTGATGTGATCGTCTTTGTCATTTAGAACTTGTTCTGTGTTAACTTTGGAGTCTTCAAATATTATTTTCTGCTTATTAAGTTCACTCACTTGTTCTTTCCATGCTTCAGCTTCCTGCAAAAGATGTTCCTGGCTTTCCTGAAGTTGAGAATTTTCATTCAAAGCATCTTTTATCACGATCTTCAGTTGTTCAACATTCATTTGAAATATGTTTAAGGGCATTTTGGCTTCAGCTAGCTGTGATTTAAGGGATTTTGACAGGTCTTCTAGAGACTGTTTTATTTCTGAAATATCCGCCATAAACTGATGTTGTCTACAATGTTGGTATTTCTCTTCTTTTAACTCTTTTTTCAGATATGGTATTTCATCCTCCATTTCAGAAATGGATCTGTTCAGCTTTTCACATGTTGCCCCCAAACTTTCTGCTTCTGCTGCCTGGTTCTCAAGGCTGACGTCCTGTAAAGATGACTCTCTTTCATAGCCTTCATAGCTTTTTTGTAGAAAACTAAATTTTTCAAGTAGGTTACATTTTTCTTTAATTTGCTCACAAAGCTCTAGAGCAAGCTTTTTCTCTCTTCCCACATATAGCTGACTCCTGACTGATCTAAAACATCTCCACAGAAAAAGGGGAATAGCAACAAATCCAATAACACCTGCCCATATCACTAATTCCCATGGAAAACCATTAGAATTTGATACCATACTTTCCAGCAGTGCTGCCACAATCCTGTGTAGCTTCTCCATGACCAGCCTCAGGTAGGGCTCAGGAGTAGCACCCGGCTACTACATAGCGCCAAGGCTGTTCTGGTGGTCGCCCCAGTAACCCCAGCACTTGGAATCAGTAGCATTCAGTCTGGAACTGGAGCAGACCACTGCGAAACTGGCTGTGGGGGGAGCTGTGGACAGGGGCAGGGGCGGTGGAGGGCACTGGAGAAGAGCTGGCCTTCAGTCTGGAACCTGAATCCACACGAGGCAACTGGAGTAGACCACTGTGGAACCGGCTGTGGGGGGAGCTGGGGGGATGAGGACACCCACAGGCCCCACAGGCCTCACAGGCCCACGCTGCCCACCCCGACCCCCGTGTTACACTTTACATCTTGAGGTGGCACAGGTCCGGGCCTGACCCCCATTTAACTGTTTTTTTATTGGTAATATCATATTGTGTTAATTAGTTTTTTAATAATAAAAAGATTTGTCAAGGAGAGACTGCAAATTTATGATTCCTCAAGATTGCCTTGGCCACTATTGACATTTTGCTCTTCCATGTGAATTCTACTAACAACATGTGAAGTTTCATTTAAAAAATCATTTTGTCTATTTTTTTGTTTGTTTTAGAAACAGGGTCTCACTCTGTCACCCAGGCTGGAGTGCAGTGGTGCACAGCTCACTACAGCCTCAAAACCCTGGACTCAAGAGCTCCTCCCACCTCAGCCTTCCAAGTAGCTAGGACTACAGGTGTGTGCCACCACACTGAGACATTTTGGTATTTTGAATTGCATTATATTTACAGGTGATTTGGGACAAATTTCCTTTTTGCATCATGAAGGTAACAAATTTCCTTCTATAAGATTATCTTTTGTGTCCTTCACAAACATTTTGTAATTTTCTATGTTGATGTTTTGTGCATATTTGTTCTTATTACTAGTTTAAGAGTAGCTTTTAAAAAATTACTTTTTTTTTTTTTTTTTTTTTTTTTTTGACAGAGTCTTGCTTTGTCACCCTGACTGGAGTGTGGTGGGTGCAATATTGGCTCACTGCAACCTATGGCTCCCAGGTTTATCAGATTCTCATGTCTCAGCCTCTGAGTAGCTGGGATTATAGGCATGCACCAATATGCCTGGCTAATTTGTGTATTTTTAGTAAAGACACCGTTTTGCCATTTTGGCCAGGCTGCTCTTGAACTCCTGACCTCAAGTGATCTGCCCATGGCTCCCCAGAGTGCCGGGATTATAGACATGAGCCACTGCTCTCAGCCTAATCACATTTCTTAATTGGTAACTGAATGCAGGAACACCATTTGAATTTGTATTAAGCAATGTTTGGTTTTTAAAAAAATCTCCATGATATGTTTAGTTAAAACAAAATATCAGAATGCATCCTACAAAATAAGCATATTGTTTGATGATACTCAAACAAGAGTTACAACGTAAAATGTAAAATTCATTAATTTGAATTTCAGGCATTTGAAGCCACGACTCTAAGTTTGAAACTGTTCCATTACTTTACATTCTTTTTATTAGTGGGAATATACAGATATACCATTACTGTCTTTAGATTTCTAAAACAATCATGATTTCCCTCCATCTTTAATAATTGAGTCAGTTATAGAATTACATATTACCATAGTAGTCTGAAGATTTTACTTTGTGTGTGCGTGTGTTTGTTTTTTGAGATGGAGTTTCACTCATGTTACCCAGGCTGGAGTGCAATGGCGTGATCTCGGCTCACCACAACCTCTGCCTCCTGGGTTCAGGCAATTCTCCTGCCTCAGCCTCCTGAGTAGCTGGGATTACAGGCACATGCCACCATGCCCAGTATTTTTAGTAGAGACGGGGTTTCACCATGTTGACCAGGATGGTCTCGATCTCTCGACCTCGTGATCCACCCGCTTCGGCCTCCCAAAGTGCTGGGATTACAGGCTTGAGCCACCACGCCCGGCCTAGAAGATTTTACTCTTGTTGCTGATGAGAAGTTTGACTAGATACCATTGACTTCCCTCTGTAGATACTGTCTATTACTTCAGGAAGCATCTTAAAGTTTTCCCTTTGTCATGATGCTCTGCAGTTTTACTTTGGTAGCTGACTTAATTTTATTATCATCAACACTTACAGCTAATTTCCCATCTAGAGACATTTCTTTCTTCATTTCTAGTAAACTCTGTGTTATTATCACTTTGAGTGTTATTTTCTACGGCCTTTCTCTTCTTGGCCATTTGTCAACATTTATTAGCTAAAATCCTGTTAAGTCTATTCATTTATCCTCCAAGTTTCACAAGTGTTTTCATGTTTTTTATATGTCTCTTATTTCTTATTAATGAATTAGCATCATATTTATGCATTCTCTCATTAGTTTAATGATTTCTTTGTAATTTTAATTATATTGACCATATTTGTCATTTGTTTCAATTTTAATATTTTTTTCTCTAACATATGTAATTTTGGCCCCTTGGATGTGCCTATTTCTCGTTCTTTTCAATTTTTTTCCCCTTTGGCTCTTTGATAAACCCCAAGTAAATATCGTTCAGATTCTTCTGTCATTTTCATTCACCTTCTGCTTGGTGGGGATTTTTAAGTTGACTTTTTTAAGAATCAATGTGTTGCAGAAATTGAATTTTCACATTTTAAGGAGTAATTTTTTAACCTCTTTTTTGGTACTCACTTCTCTCTGCTGGATAAGAGTGTCTCATTAAATTATCTTGGCACCCTTCTTTAACAAATCTTTTTAAACAAGTTGTGGTACGAAAACTGGATATCTATCTTTAAAAATTAATGTGGACCCCTACTCTATACTATATACAAAAATTAACTCCAAACGGATCAAAGACCTAAACACAAGAGATAAAACTATAAAACTCCTAGAAGAAAACACAGGCATAAATCTTAATAATCTTTCTTGACACTTGCTAAGAGAGCAGATTGTAAGTGCTCTTACCACAAAAAATGCTAATTGTGTGAGGACAGGAATACATTAAGTAGCTTCCCTGTAGTATTCGATTTACTGTGTATATGTATATCAAACATCACATCACACACCTTAAATACATGCAATTTTAATAAAAAGTAAAAAGTTTAAAGAAAAATACAAAATAAAGAGTTCTGATGGTAAATGTAGTGCCTGCTGTCTATAAAAATAGACATTTTTCCAGAGAAGACATACAAACAGCCAATGGGTATATGAGAGGGTGCTCAATGTCACTAATCATCAGGAAAATGCAGATCAAAATCACAATGAGATATCACTTGTTAAGAAGGTTATTATCAATAAAAAAGCCAACTGGTAACAAGTTGTATTAGTCCATTTTCACGCTGGTGATAAAGACATACCTGAGACTCGGCAATTTACAAAAGAAAGAGATTTAATGGACTCACACTTTTCATTGCTGGGGAGGCCTCACAATCATGGCAGAAGGTGAAAGACACATCTCACATGGCAGCAGACAAAAGAAGAGAGAGCTTGTGCAGGGAAACTCGCTTTTTTTTTTTTTTCTCGAGACGGAGTTTCTATTGTTACCCAGGCTGGAGTGCAATGGCGCGATCTCGGCTCACCGCAACCTCCGCCTCCTGGGTTCAGGCAATTCTCCTGCCTCAGCCTCCTGAGTAGCTGGGATTACAGGCACGTGCCACCATGCCCAGCTAATGTTTTGTATTTTTAGTAGAGACAGGGTTTCACCATGTTGACCAGGATGGTCTCGCTCTCTCGACCTCGTGATCCACCCGCTTCGGCCTCCCAAAGTGCTGGGATTACAGGCTTGAGCCACGGCACCCGGCCCGGAAACTCGCTTTTTAAAAACCATCAGATTTCATGACAATTATTCACTGTCATGAGAACAGTGTGGGAAAAACCCACCCCCATGATTCAATTATCTCCCATTGCGTCCCTCCCACCATACATGGAAATTATGGGAAGTACAAGATAAGATTTGGATAAGGACACAGAGCCAAACCATATCACGGGTGTTGGTGAGAACATTGAGCAATTGAAAGCATTTTTACTGTGTTGTGGGAATGTAGAGAATGATGCAGCCACGATGGAAAACAGTATAGAGGCTCCTCCAAGAATTCAAAATAGAACTACCTTGTGATCTAGCAATCCTACTTCTGGGTGTATACATCCAAGAGAATTGAAATCAGGATCCTGAAGCACTATCTGCATTCCCATGTTCACCGTAGCATTATTCACAATAGCCAAGATAAGGAAAGAAACTAAACGTCTGTCAACAGATGAACAAATAAAGAAAGTAGGGGGATATACACCCATGGAATATTATTCCACACTAAAAAAAAAGAAGGAAATCCTTCCATTTGTAGTAACATGAATCAATGCAGAGGGCATTAAGCTAAGTGAAATAAGACAGTCACAGAAGGACAAACACTACGTGATTCCACTTATATGAGACATTTAAAATAGTCAAACACCCAGAAGAGGAAAATAGAATTGTGATTACCAGGGGCTTGAATGGGTTAAAAATGGGCAATAATTGGTCAATGGGTATAAAGCTTCAGTCATGGAAGATGAAAAAGTTCTAGAGATCTGCCATACAACATAGTACCTACAGTTAAAAGATGGCATTGTGTACTTAAAAACATGTTAGGAAGATAGTTCTCATGGTGTGTGCTTACCATACACAAAAATAATAAAGACCACACACATAAAAAAAAAAAAAGAAAAGTTTTGAAAGTTATGAATATGTTTATTGCCTTGATTGTACTAAATGGTATCACAAGTGTAAGCATGTTCAAACTCAACAAAATACATATTGAATACAGATTGAAGACCAAAGAAAGCAATTCTAATTCCAAGCACAAGGTAATTAAGATAATAATGATCATTTCTAAGTATTAAAGTCCACCTTCTACTTATGTGCAGAAACATAGAAACCCAGGGCAATATTTAAAATGAAGAAATGAAAAAACTTATCTATAAAACTGACTGCATCTACAACTTAATTTTCTAAGAATAAATGCTGCTTTTTCCAGTAACTTAAACAAAAAGGTGGTAATTCAGGCAAATAAAAAGGAAGAAGCAAATTGAATAGAGTTGATGACTGATTGGAAATACCAAGCTTCTTAACTTAAACACCTTATTTCTTTTTCTAAGTTAGAACATGACTTAGAAAATGGCAAGCAGAGTCTTAAAAAATTATGAGCAAAACCCCTCTAACATCAAAACGTTCCTCTCTCTTTCTTACTCAGAGCAGGCACACCCACCAGCACATTCTACTCACAGTGAGAATATGCTATCCAGATATACGAAACTTCAATATTTTATAATATTTGCTCCATGATTTAAAGGAACTGTAAGAGTTGACTTTGCTACAGGGTCGGGGATCCCCCTTGGGAGAGGCACACTTGGTGGTGCAGGAGGGTCCCCTTTAGGAGGTGGCGTTGGCACCGAGGCCTGAAGGCCAAGGAGCGGGATGTGGAGAGCTGAGCCCCCGCCGTCCTGGCGGAGGAGACAGGCCTGCACAGTGTTCCTCGGGCCGGAAGGAAGGACCCAGCAGTGGGGTTGGAGCCCAGCGCAGGAGGGAAGAGCTGTGAGGGGACAGGCTGGAACCCCAGGGCTCCGTGTGCCAAGGTATGACACTGGGGTTTGGTTGTAAACGCGAGGGGATGTGCAGGTTTGAAGCGAGGCTGTGGCTGTT